AGTTAACTATTAAAAAAAGTTAAAGAGGAGGGGAGGAAAAAAAGAGTCATTTTAAAATTTTTTTCTTAATCAAGAGGAGGAGAAGTGAGAAAAATAAAAAGATATAATTTTCTATCAACTCTTATTCATTCTGCTCAAATATACTTAAGTTGTTATTACTATAAAAAATTTGTTAATCATTTTTATATTTTCACTAATGTATCAATGGGTTATTGTTAAAATTATCCATTATTGTGGCTAACTACCCCATCTTAAAATTTATTAATAAAAATTTAATAATATAAATTAATTAGATACAATAATGGAGATATTATTAATGTGTAGGAGAGATTTTCTTCTACTATAATCAATCGATATTATTTATTAAATTTTATTGTTACTAAGGTTCAAATTATATTGAGGCTTAAAAATTAAAAAAAAAAGGATTAAAATTTTGTTAATATCTAAATAATTTTTTATTTATCAATTGATTTTGATATTTTTCTCAAGGAAAAAAAAAAAAGCACCAATCACCTATCACTAATCACTAAAGCAAAGTATTAAAATTGTTTAAATGGTTCTCTTGTTTTGATTTTATGTAAATAGTTTTTGATATAGGAAAAATTTATCAATCGTACCTATAAAAATATTAGGTGAAAAAATACTTTAAAATTATGTTATTTTAATAAATCTCCATTAAAAATAACTAAAAAATCACAGTTTTTAAAATAAGTATAAAGTTGTTTTAGGTTTTTTTTTTTCACAGTGATTTATTAAAATGACGTAATTGTTACCATCTTAGATATTAGAAAAATGTATCAACTATACCTACAAAAAATTAGGTGAAAAAATACTTTAAAACTATGCCATTTTAATAAAATTTCATTGAAAAATATTAAAATATCTTTGTTTTTAAAATAAGAATAAAATTGTTTTAGTTTTTTCTCATAGTGTTTTTATTAAAATGACATAATTTTGAGGTTTTTTGCCTCTTTTTTTTTTGGCAAATATGACTAATAAACACTATTCTCTTTAGGTATATCATCACTTTTGTTATTTAGTGGTAGAATTATTTATATTCTTACTGGATATTTGAATTAAGAAGAATTGAGGGGAGGGGCCTCCCATTTAAATAAATAAAAAATATTAAAAGAAAAAATAAAAAAAAAGGGCTTCATTTCTCTCCCCCACCTTCAATTTTTATGATAATCAAATAGAGAAATTGTTTTTCCTTCACTTCCCTCTCATTCTCTCATTTTTATTTTTTTTAAACTAAACATACTATTAGTGGTAAGTCTTGGGTTTGATTTTAAGTCTTTACATATAAAAAAGAAAAAGAAAAAGAAAAAGTTTAGATATTAGTAAAAAAGATTTATCATATTTTAAAAAAATTTTATAGGTGATGCACTAAAATCACCCTAACAAGTGTACTAGTCACTTCAAGTAATATAATAATGAGAAGAGTGTAGAACCCACGAGAATTGTATCTAAGTACCAAAATAATTAATCCAAATTTATTTGAACAACCAAATGGGAAGAAAGTTTAACTAAAAAATAACAATTAAATTAAACCTAACCAAGATATGAGGTACTAAGGCATTGACTTCATCATAATCAATCAATATAAATTCTGGATTACTAAATTGTTGAGTGTTATTGCATGTGATGGCGGATTTTCCTAAATTAATTAACTAACTTTCTCAAGTCAAGTTAATCATTCACTTGTTTGTTAAATTAATCATATCTCTATGTAATTTTAAACAAACTTATGAGCATTAAATTCTATGGAAACCTCTAGTTTAAGAAGGGGGAGCTCCTAATTATTTTTCTCTTCCTCCACTACCACATGTGAGCTAATTACCTCTCGATCTCATAATTTAGCACACGGTTTATATTATTATTGGTCTAATTTACATAATTCTTTCTCAAGTTCATGCATAAATCACTAAATCAATTGAAAGGTGATTAGACTTTCAATGCATTAAGTTCAATAATATAAACTCCTCATGCAAATAACTTTAATTGAAAGCATAATTTAGCACACGGTTTATATTATTATTGGTATAATTTACGTAATTCTTTCTCAAGTTCATGCATAAATCACTAAATCAATTGAAAGGTGATTAGACTTCCAATGCATTAAGTTCAATAATATAAACTTATCATGCGAATAACTTTAATTGAAAGTATAAAATTACAAAATCTATATTGAATTGATTAGGCTAAATCATAGTCTTAATAAAATAAATTAGTTCATAATAAAAATAATAAAATCTGAAATCACAGTTATGAACATAAGAATGTCTAAGGAAAAACAAAATCTAATTTGAGGTAATTGAAATCCTTGATTTTCTCCTTCATAAATCCTTTATCTTGACCTCCAAGAGTATCCAAAAGAGAGTTGACACCAGCCTCCACAAAGCTCCCCTTAATTCTGAATTTGGATGGGTATTTATAGGATTTTAGAAACCCTAATTGAAATAGAAGTCGGACTTGGAACAGAAATAGGAAACTGAATTTTGGATACTGATCGCATGGTGCTGACACTTTGGATTACATGTTGACACAAAATAGGAAACATAATCTGATTCTGAACGTTTAATGAATGGTGTCGACACCCCGGTTACGTGGCGACACTACACCCGTGTCGGGTTTCAGACCTCATTTTGCAATTTCTTCAATGGTAAAATAGCAGCTCTGGTCTTCCAAATTTTGTAGGATGAGCACTTAGATCCCAAAACTCAAAACTAATTCATTTAGGTCCCAAATGGCTGCCCTTCTTCTTGCAATTCAGTCCCTCAACTTTTAGAAGATGTTTAATAAATCTTAAAAACTCTTATTTTATACATTCAAGTCTTTTTCTGCACAAAGAATGAAATTATGTAAAGTCTCATAAAACTCAGTAAAATCTCATAAAACTCATCCAAATATCAACAATATCAAAGCAACAATTTTATATTAATATGTATATAAATTTAACTCATCAAATTCTCCCAAACTTAAGTTTTACTCGTCCTCGAATAAAATAAAAAGACAAAAGAAACAAAAATAAAATCTAACTCACTTTCGTAAGAATCACAATTGCACTTAGCATGTGCAACAAGCCTTTAAACCCCTAAGTCACCCTAGTGGACGAGTTGTGTCTCGTGAGGGTTTGTAGTAGTTCTACCCACAAAATCCCAATGCAAAAATGCCACTATATGATATGTATGCAAAGAAAATTTAGGAATTAAAGTTCAATTAGACACAAAGTTTCAAATATTTAAGAGTTCTCATACATTCACTTAAAGTAAAATACTCCATCATATTCTTCACACCACTTGTTAAAAGATTTAACCCATGAGCACTTAGTGTGTGTGTGGAAATTCATGGTAAGATGTCTCAAGTTTAGACCTTCACACCTTAGCACTTATTATTATTATTTTTTCTTCTTTTTTTTTTTTCTTTCATATGTCGAGTTTCCTTAAGCTTCTAAGTTACCCATGTATCGAGCTTTTTGTCAATGACTCCCAAACCAGTTGGCTTTAGGGCATTAGGCGAAGAGACACCCTTAAGAACATACTTACTCAAGTAAAAAAGGCCACGAAACATTCAACTTCTCTTCTTTTTTTTTTCTTTTTTTTTTTTCAGCCATACAACACATTCTTCCCTAAGTTATCACTTGTCTTTTGACGTGAATACTAATACTTGTGATGAAAGCACCCAGTTACTCAACAAGTCATAAACTCAAGGTGCTTTGCATACTTATATTTCAAGTCATCGTTTGACATGAAAATTGACATGGGTTTCATGCCTAACCCCCAGTTACTAAGCAACTAGAAACATTAGAGTAGAAATTAATAAACTCTTTTGTGTGTTGGCTTTCTTTCTTTCTTTTT